ACTGCTGCAGCTCCATCACTTGAGCTCTCGCCTCTGGAACACCAGCAGCAGCCCGCACAGCGGCGGCCGCACACAGCCCCACAACTTGGTCTCGGAGGGCCCCGCGCGGGTCGCTCCCGGCCGCGATTAGTTGTTGGGTATAGCCGAGGGCAGGAAACGCCCCGCTGCCACCCGCCACACTGCTAACCGTCTGCCCGGGCCTCACCTACACTAACAGCATGGCAAGAGCAGCGGCCTCTCAACCGAAACCCCAGGAACGATGATACAACTGAAGCCCTGAAGGGTAACATACACCACGTACATGCATTGCCCGTCGTTGGGCTGACCTTTGACCTCGTCACTGGCACGACGGTTGCCCGAGGGGTATCACCAGAACAGAACGGGCCGACTTCTCCGGCCGGTTGCATAGAGGCCAGGCCACCGCACAGCCTCCGGCCGCCGCCCCCCGCGCTCCCACCCCACGAGACACGAGACTGGCTCGGGCACAAGGCCAACGACGGACAATCAGCGTCCAGAAGGAAACAGATTTGGCCGTCGTACGGCTCTTCCCCGGAGACAAAATATTAGGATTATATAACCATACGCAGGGTCAGCAAGTGATTCCTTTCCAAAAATCAAGAAGCGAGTTGTAGAAATAACATTCCCAAGAGCAATATATTTGCAAAAGGCGAAAGGAAAATCATGTATAATACATTTTAAAATGTAGTATACAATTGTCGTCGGTAAAAGGCTATTCTACACGATCAGGACTTCCCCCGCAAGAAAGCACCCCTTGCCCTTCGAAAGGGGGGGGGGTGCTGAGAGGGAAGCTACCCCCCGCTTGCCGCACTCGCTCGCGCGGGGTATCTCCGCGCGCCTGCGCGACGCCCCCGAGGCCGCGGTTCACTAAGCCTTGGGGAGGAGCAGCGGCCCCAGGAACTTGGACGACAGGGCGACCACGTAGGTGCCCACGATAACCACCAGGGCCACGCTGGTCGCGATCTTCTCCCGCAGCTCCGCGTCCCCCGTGAAAGACTCCAGCACCAGGCCGCCCAGGGCCGTCTGCACGCGGGGTGGGGGATCGTATAGTAGCGTGTCACTTTTGTCTCTAGGCCAAAAACGTAATTTGACCTCACTATAACGGTTGCCACGGACATGAGCGGGCTTGCCGGTAAGTACCTGCAGGAGTCCCTTGGACCAGTAGGACACCGCCATGAAGAGCCTCTGCTTCGGGGGCTTTCTGCTGAACGCCGAGAACACGTAGGTCACCGGGAGCCGAACCTGTGTCCACCACAGCGCGTGTCAGCGTGACACCCGGCCCGCATACTACCATGCAGTGACTTCCAGCGGACACCAACAAAACGCGCAACACAAACCATCAACGCGAGGAAGTAGATGAGTATCGCCTTCCACACGGTGTCGCGGTTCATGGAGGCGAAGTTGGCCGAGATGCCGACCAGGACCGTCATGATGGGGTGGCAGAAGTGCCACAGCATTTCGAACACCTCCCGCAGGGGAGTCTGGAAACGTGAAGCGATCATGACGTTGAGCATCACTCCACAAGGGCCATGGCGGCAGGCGGCCTTGGCAACCCTACCCGAGTGCCAGGGCCACCAGGGCCTGGGCAACCCTGTACGAGTGCCTGGGCCCCCTGCGCGCGCCCCATGGGCCGCCTGGGCAACCCTACCCATGTGCCAGGGGCGCATGGGCGAGGTCCGGTCGCCGGCCGGACCCATGGGCAACCCACACCCCACATGTGATCACCCTTCACGTCAGGGTATCTTAAAACCACCCCTGTGACGGCGCTGGCACCCACCGCGTCCTCCTGCCAGCCCATGGCGCGCCAGCAGTTGACCATGAAGCAGGCCGTGGTCACGTTGCAGATGTAGGCGGCCGTGTCCAGGCGGTACACGCTGCACGCCAGGTGGATGCACGTGCTCGTCATGATGAGGAGGCTGAAGCGCGCCAGCAGCGTGTGGCGCTGGGGAGGGGGGGGGGGGTGATCAGTGACAAGAGACCGCGGCTAACGAGACGGGGACGGGGAGCGGCGAGCGACCGGTTAGGCGCGCGATACTCACGCTGTACCTATTCGGCAGGCACGCCAGTAGCAGCCCGAGCGCGCACCCCAGGGAGATGCTGAGGATCACCTTCATCGTGATCCGGCCCAGCACCCCGACGGCCTCGCTGCCTGCCTGCCGGGTACTTGGTACAGTGAGGTATTCCGTAGCGATTAGTCGTCAAATATCGAAATAAGGCGCCGATTACGGAAAGACGTCGGCGTCGACCGGTTTCTAAGCCCGACTGAAGCAGGGCGGGCCGGGCTGACTCACCCGACAGCGCCATGGACTCGTTGAGCATGTCGAAGATGACGATGACCAGCGTGTTGTCCACGGTGCCGGCCGCCAGGAGGATGGACAGGATGCCCGTCTTGGTGCCGTAGCCCTGGTTGGCCAGCGACACGAGGCACAGCGACAGCAGCACGGGGGACACGCCGCCCCAGATGAAGCCGAGGGTCAGCGCCCACAGCTTGGGCACCTCGAGCAGGTACTTGACCATGGCGCTCACGAACAGCGACTCGCACACGCAGGGGAAGACGCCCAACAGGACGATGGTGAGGCCGTAGTTGTGGAAGACGGCGCCGTCGAAGTAGAGCCCGGCCTTGACGATGCTGATGGTGAAGAAGAGCGACCTGCGGGCGGCAGGGAGGCGCCTGTCGTATCGGGGGTAGGCAACCCTGCGGACGGGGCCGCGCGCGCGCAGCCTATCGCTAGCGCCTAGCGCCTCACTTGGCGGCCGACATGACGGAGTGGTCCAGGTGGTCCGTGGCGTCCCAGCAGAGCGGCACGTTGCGGTACACCAGGGCGACGCTGATCATGCCCACCGTGGGCGGCAGGTCGAGGTGGTAGAACATGGCCCAGCCGACGGCGTACGCCACCAGCACCACGACGCCCATGGCGAACAGTGGGCTCCCCGGGCCGACCCTGAACAAAGTTTCAAACAAGAAATGAGATGATAAGGATCTGCCAAATGTTAGTCACCCATTTTAGACCATGTCCGATTTTTTATTTTTTTAAGATAAGGGCATTCATCTGGGACCATCAAGTTTTGGTCGGATCGGGCTCAGGCAATTCAAACGACCATCAACCAGAACAACGAAAAAATCCTTTTTTTAGGGGGGCGGGGGAATTTCGGAGATGATCGAAAAATGAGTGGCTCATGCATGTCTGATCCTTCACGATGATTTATTCCTTATTTTAAACAAAGAAAAATAAGAGCGAGGATGTGTTTTTAAAGGGGTGTTTTGCTGTAAACACGTCCTACAAAATAAACAGCGACTCACAAGTCGGGCCCGACGCTGAAAAGCAGCGCCGACCAGGTGGCTATGAGCACGACGGAGATGGTGAGCAGCCAGTCCAGGTAGCGGTACGAGAAGCACCAGCGAGGCGTGCAGGCGAGGTCGTCCAGCGCGCTGCGGCAGGGGCAGCACGGTAGGAAGTGCGGCCGCCCCGGCGGCGGCTGCGTGGGATTGAGCCAGCGCAGCACCTCTGCGGGCAGAATCGGTTCAGCATTGATAGTGCTCGGCAGTGGTTCACGGGTGGTTTGACAAAGAGACGTTCACGACGAGGGTGAAGGTGGTCGTCTGACGTCCTACTCACCCGCGGCGGAGTCGGCCGCCCGGGCGACAACTGGTCCAGAGGTTGCTGATCTTGCTGATCCTGGAGGCTGGCGTGGACGTGGCTTGGATCGATCCATGTCGTGCTTCTCAAATAGGCCAGTTTAACCTGACGACAAAATTAATCTCGCAGTAGTAGGGCAAGCGTGTGAGGGCAACACTGCGCGCCTTCGCCTCGACAATCGGGAGAGACAAAGCAACAGAGAAGAAGAGAACGGAGCCGCTAACTGCAACTGCGCCACAGCTGGAGGCTAAACACGAAACACACAAACATGGCCTGGGTTTTGGTACGAGACATGTTTGCCTCCAATGCAAGTCGACGCACGATCTAGACGGTACTGGAAGCCTGCGATGTTTGACTTACCTGTGTTACAGGACTGGCTGTTCGGGCTGATTCCGGCTGAGGAGGAGAATGAGGTTAGGTTTGATCCCCATGGTCATGTAACTTGCCGCAGTTCGCCCGAGATGAAAAGCAGTATAACCCGCGGTTGTTTATCAGGAACGGATTGCCGAGCAAGAGGACATCAACCGCGAGCAGGAGCAGCTCAACCTGGTAGAGTTATTTCGACGTCGACGGCGTTCTTCGTGTGGGAGGCGAGGACCGCTGCACCGGCCGTCTTGTTTTTGTCTGGCCTGCAGATCGCGCGCAGGGGCGAGGAGGTGCTCGCGTCCGTGCCGGCCCTGCCACCACTCCAAAGTGTGTACCCCGAGGAGTACCGCTCCCAGGGCAGGTTGTAAGTGCCAACACAAAGACGATCTCGTGTCCGTGCGTAGATTAGACGGTCTTGTATTTACCTCTGCTCCTCTGCTCCGGACGCTACTATATGGAGGGGACGGGCGACGTGCGTGGGCGGTTATGATCATATCAATCAGCCGACCTTGTAACTTGCAGCCACCCTTCGCGCGAATGTTAACTCCTAAACCGTTTCGATGACATTTATGAGCTCGGCCGTTCGTAGACTGCTGGGTAGCGTCTGGCGCGCCTTTGTCGATCCCGTCGAGGAGTCCTCCCGCATTGACGAGGAGGCGCCCCTGACGCCCAGCCCCGCGGGCCCCCGGGACTCGACGCCCACGCCGCCCCCGCCCCCGCGCACCATCCCCTCCACCAGACACGTGTCCTTCGCCCGCGTCGCCCCGAGCAGCACAGGTGCGCGAGCTCGCTGCCGCGCCGGGGCCGACGGGGGGCAACGGGCACCACGACTGACTAGCTTGTCCTCCTGCAGGACAGCGCTCCGGCATGGTGCTGCCGTGCTCGTGCTGCCCGCCATCGCCGTCCCTGTCGTCGCCCGTCTGCCCCGGGATGCCCGTCAAGGCGTGGTCGCCCTCGTGGGAGGAGGCGGAGGGTGGCGTGATCGTCGTCTCTCTCAACCTGCTGTTGTGGGGCGTGCTGTGGGCGCTCTTCGGCCAGGCCGCCGGCCCGCGTAAGCTGCCTTGTCCACCACGCCCACGACCCCCGTGTGCCACACGAGGTGCAGTGCCCTCCCCCTCCTCTGCCCCAAGTGTCCGCGCCCTTCTACGTCATCATGCTGTCGCTGGCGGGCCACGCCATCGGCGTGCTGGTGGGAGCGCTGACGCCCTTCCCGCCCATGTATGGCATGCTGCTCATGCCCGCCATCGTGTCCAACCTTGGCCTCGACGAGCTGGAGGTGCTGGACCACGTCCGAGGCGATATAGCGGCCCTGATCGTGTGAGCCACCGTCATTGTGCTGTCGGCGCCCTGTCTCTGCTCGGATGTCTCAGACCAGTGTCCTTCTTCCCCTTTAGCTTCGCCTCGATGGGGGTGTTCGTGGCCAGGGCGGGGATCGACGTCGAGCTGTCGCAACTGCAGAGCTCGTCCGGGCTGGTGCTCGCGCTCGCGTTCCTCCCCCTGCTCTCCGAGGTCGCCGTCGTCACGCTCGTCGCCACCTATGTCCTCGACATCTCGCTGCGCTGGGCCTTTCTGCTCGCCACGCTCACCAGCCCCATGTCCCCCCTGGTGGTGATGTGGACGGCGCTGCAGCTGCGCCGCGCTGACCTGGGCACGCCGACGGCCGTGTGCTCGCTGCTGCTCGTCGTCTGCGCCTTGGACTGGGCCGCAGGGCTTTGCCTCATGGGCGTGGCCCTGAAGTGCGCCGTGCAGACAGGTGAACCCCTTACCCTCGTCCTCCGTTCCCTGACCCGCCTCTGTCCTAACATTATTTCTTGGCCAGAGTCCTGGAGCACAATCGCGTCGGGGCTCACCGAGCTGATATCGGGCATCCTGATCGGCTCGGTCATCGGCTTTTTCTCCATCTACGTTCCAAACGAGCACAATGTAGGTGGTGGCGTGCGCTTTCGCTGCCAGACAGCGTCAGCGCTCACTGTGCCCTCCCGCCCTCCTAGGTGCACGCCACCTTTTACCGCGTCGAGATGCTCCTGGCCGTCAACGTGTGCTTCGTGGTCCTGTTTCACTACTTCCTGGGCATGCCTGCTATCGGCTACCTGTCCGCCTTCACCACGGCCTGCGTCGCGTCCAACGGCTGGAAGACTCTTTCTATGGACTCGAAAAAGGCAAGATATTCTAATAGAGAGATTCCACGCCGTTATAAACGCCTTTAGGCGTCGCTGACGACCACTTGTTTCAACAGACGACGCTGAGGACCATGATGGCCCTGAGCTGGCTCATCCTGGAGCCCCTCACCATGTCCATCATTGGGCCTCACATAATAGTCACCCGATTCGGCGAATGGCGACAGCTGCGCTACATCGGCGTCCTTTTCGCTGGCCTCGCGGTGCGTCAGGCGTGCGTCGTCAGGCCCTCGCTGAGCACGCCGAGGGGGTGCCCCATCTGACGGTAACGTCTGACACAGACCCGCCTCGTGGTGTCGGCGCTGTGCTGCGTCAAGTCGAGTCGCCCCGGCAGAGAGCGCTGCTTCATCTGCATCGCATGCATTCCCAAAGGCACCGTTCAGGTGAAGCTCCCCACCCCATCTCCTTGATCCCACCGTGATGGCTTATTTGCAAAAAATCAAAGTTGGGGGGGAGGGGGGGGTCCCCTCCCCTCCCCTTATCCAACCCTTCTGCTCGCAGCTGGTGTCGTGCAGCTTCACCCTCTCCCGCACGCTCACCGACAACGCAGACAAGGACATGGCCGAGGTCATGATGGACTGCTGCACGCTGGCACTCTTGCTGACGGGTCCACTCGGCTCGCTGCTCTCGTCCCTGGCCGCCCCGAAGCTGCTGCGCCGACCGCAGCCCCGAAGCAGCCTCCTGGAGCTCCAAGAACCCGACATGTCTTTCTAGTTGACCGAGCACTCGGATAAGTGTGTTGTTTGAATTTTCGCGCGCTGCTTTTCTGTTTGCGGATATCTTGTATTTTAGGTTAGATTTTAGTTTACTGTCGATTAGGTTGTTTGGATCGAGAACGTGGTAAAAATATTTGTTTTGCCTCTGAAAATCCGAGCACTTTTTTCTAGACCCCGAGGAAATACTCTACATTTTGCCACCGACCGTTTGTATGTGTTAAATGGTTGGTACTCTGTTCCTTTGCCGAGTGCACCAACTAAGAAAGCGTACACGAACATAAAAACAAGCTCACAATCTTGTCTTATTGTACGGTGGGATTTTTCGTCTTGCACGGATTACTCCTTTTTACTGTGAATTCCTTTTAACGAGTTCGATTGTGCTTTAATAGTGTTGAAACCTAACGCAGAGCTTTATTGCGGTGTTGTGGTACGAAATGGGGCGCGGCGTCGTGACGTCACTGTTATGGTCGTGTAAACAGGTGTAATACACACTACACTTGATTTGTTTTTATTTAATTTACTTTTCAGTTTTCGTATCTGAAACGCCATACCATCATGGCATCAGTTATGACCCAAAACATTCTCTTTATAAGTATCACCTTTTGCTGCCTGAGTTCTGGTAAGTACTTAATTATTTGAAAACATGTATGTTTGGGTGTGTTGTGGATGAATTCCATTGCATCGGCATTTGATGTTTTCAACTTGTCTTTGTATAATTCATTACTTAACCAATAATATTTCATCCAATTAGCGTGTTTTCAACGTGAAATACCAGATTTTGAGACTGGGTGGTAGCTGCGGAGAGCAGTATAGGTTAAGTGTGTGTACTTATCAGGGTGTCTCTTTTCTGTTACAGTCCTTGCCATTAAATGCTGGGATTGCCGGTCAGATGCAGATCCAAAGTGTGCAGACCCATTTGATAACTCTACTGTCCCAATTACGGATTGTAGGACCCTTGGAAATCTTGATCATTTGCCTGGAGTACGACCAACAATGTGTCGCAAAATTCGTCAAAAAGGTAAAAGTTAATCACCATAACATCAAGTTTAATTATTTTTTGTTTGAAACTTGTTCTAACTCAGTATGAAAATGTTATGCATTACAGTGAATGGAGAGTGGCGTTACTTCCGTAGTTGTGCATACATGGGTGAGCCAGGAATCCAAGGAGATGAACGATTTTGTCTTATGCGTACTGGCACGTACAATATTTTTATGGAATACTGTACGTGCAACAGCAAAGATGGGTGTAATTCTGCTGGAAGCTTAAAAGGTAACATTCTTCTGGGAGTTTTCGCAACATGTTTATGGTCTGTGGTTCATTTTGCCATCTATTAAGGAAAATTTTTTGAAGTCTGTCCCTTGATAGTAGTTTACATGCCATGAGGAGTTTACATAGTAATTGTTTATATCTAAGATCAAGAAAGACTCTGAAAGCTTTTCAGCACAAACTATCTTATTCTGACCAAATTTTCAGTTGTAAATTCTTTATACTTACATTCCACTCTCATTATTTATGTAAAGACCACAATTTCAATTGTTGTTATTTTTTATAATGAGTATTGAATTGAATGCACTGAATAGATTGTAGTCTTATAGCAAGCAAACATTTTTATTACATTTACAGTAACATGAATTTTCCAAAGCTGAAAATAAAAGCACTTTTAACTTTATTTTTAAGCTAGGAATAAATGTTTTGTCTACCTGTCTTTATTTAAGTGTCACTGATGGAAGTTAAAAGGGCAGCTTGAAGTGTGTCTCAATGATAAACTTCATTTAATTTTTACCTCTAATTGTGTCATGCTGTATTTTTGTGCCCTTGACATTTCAGTTTTCTAGTGTTTTGGATGTAGTTACAAATTTTTATACTAAAATTTTATACTGAAACTTAAAAGAAAGTTACTTAAAGTTGATATCTGTTCGTTAATAATTCGTGCCTTATAGTTGTTAAAATCATGATCTTGGTTTGTATCTTAATTTTACTTTTAGGGTTGTCTGTTGTTTAGGTAGGCTTGTTCAAGTTCACAAATGATTATTTTCATACATCATTTTTGCTGTTTAAAGCAAGTGAGGTGGTTACTTACAAGTATTATATGTGTATGCCTTCTGTTCAAAAAGAAAATGATCTGCATCCGTAAGAGATTAAATGAAACAACTGTGATTAATTTTAAGACTCTAAGTGTTCAATTTTTTCCTTGCAACATATTGCAAAACAGATGTTTGTCTCTTCAATCAACATGCTAGTGTATTGGTCTCCCTGCCCATGAAGCATGGCATACTATTTAGGTATAAGTACAGGAAGGTGGGAAACACCTTCCAACTCTGTTTGTTGGTTGATCATTTCCGTCCAAAGATGAGTGCTCAGTCCAGAATATTCACCACGGCCTCGTGCAATTTACTATTAAAAAATGTTTTATCTCTTTCAAATCAATTTATGAAATATTTTTACCTTTTATATGAAATTGTAGCTGTATAAATTAAGTTTTTACATTTATTCTCTGTTTCTACCATGTCTGAATATTAAACACAAATCATCATTGTCAACTGGGTTTTCTGCAGATTCCTGACCCCTTCTTACTGCTGCTGGCGATACTCCGTGTCTGGTGTTCCCCAGCCACATATACTCCCTGCTTGGGGCGCTACTCCCTGCGCGCAGCGGGGAAGGTCCTTTTCAAGTGTGTTTCTTATCCCATAGTTCCGAGTCCACGAGACGCGGGGCTAAACACGCGGCCTCCGCTACAAATTGAATAATTTACGTCTTCGTCGGGACCGGTTCACACGTCAGTGCGATCGTCCCAGCCTGCAATCCAATCGCCACACTGACATGGGTAGCCTGTTTGCGAAAGGCTGGGCGGGAACGGGAAAACAACGGCAAGAAAACTTTGCTGCTCACGCCGGCGTCAAGAGCAGAGTCAAGAAGTTTCAACTTGGGCAGATAAGTTGGTCAGCGCCGTGACCAGGTATGTGTTCGTTTGAGAATGATAAGGGGTCTGTCGATAAGATGTGGGCGGGGCGGCCCCCTATGACGCGGGGCGGCGGCCGGGGGACGAGCACGGCGTCCCCCGTGTTGTCGAGCAGCGCTGCTCTCTCTCTGGCCACCCGTCCCATCCACGTGTTGAAGCCGCAAGTGCCGCGGGTGTCGGGCTCGCGGGACATTTTCTTTTGTTCACGGGGGGCGAAGCGCAGCGAGTAGGCAATCCTATTAGCGAGCTGGTGGCGAAGGATTGGAGAAGCAGCAGCGGCAAGCGCACCGTTCGTTCGTAGCCTTGATGCCTCAAGTGCAGTGTTGACTGGGCCGTCGAAAGGGTACTACATACACTACGGGAGGACCACAGAGGACCCAAAGGACCACTCCTGAGCCTATCGCCTATCGGCTGGCCCGGGCTTGTTTCCCTGCATGTTTGGCGCTCCTCGAGGGAAGTACGTGTACGTGTACGTACACTAGTGTACAGTCAAAGCAGTGGGGCGACCGTCCGTGGCTGGCGACCGTCCAGCCTTTTTCCTTGGTAAGGCATCTTCTTCTCATGTCAGCTGACGACACAGTTCCTCCAGGGATGTCCCCTCCGTCCCGGCACGTCACGCAGACCTGGCAGAAAAAATAACAGCTGTAAAACAGTAAGCCG